TGACCTATGCTTTTTTTTTTTTTTTTTTCTTTTTTTTTTTTGACCATGACCTATGCTAATGCTCAGATCGCAAGTCGTGGCTATGCTAATGCTCAGATCGCAAGTCGTGGCTATGCTAATGCTCAGATCGCAAGTCGTGGCTATGCTAATGCTCAGATCGCAAGTCGTGATCTTCGCTAATGCTTACCGCCGGACTAACCCGAACGTCTTCTTGCAGACACTACCTTAACTCTGATGTTAAGGACGACCCAGGCACCGGTGGGGACCATGCATATGCAGTCATCCCCCATCTGTGCCATCTGTGCCATCTGTGCCTCATCCTGCAGACTCTATGGGCAGCGAACTGCCCTTCCACTAAGATGTGACATTCCACCCTCCCCTATCTTAAGCATGATGCCTTCCTACTCCAGGCTCGTCAAGAATCCACAGTCCCGACTAATTCCCCCAATGAGAATTCCCACGGAACCCAACCTGGTGGATGAAGCACCACCCGCAGGCATAGGGAGATACCTGTGGGATGAGAAGTACCCAGTACCTACCCCATACTAACACTTCCCCCCCTCCTCCGCCCCCTCCCCGGCTCATGAGGCCTCTCCCTACCCMCCCTTTATTGCTCGGTTTTCTTTTTTTTTTTTCCCTTTTTGAAAAGGTCTGGTCGTTGAAGCGGTTGGATCTAGTCATATGACAACCTCCTTCAGTAGTCAGCCATTTGGTTATCCAGATGGTTTCTTTATGAGACCACCTACCTTCCCTTCCTTTCGTCAATGCTCCTGGCACACCCTACTCCCACTAATCCTACCTCAGTGTTCTGATCTCTAATTAGCGGATGCACAGCTCACCACTCCACCCATCTACTGCAACTATTCACTAGACCCCTCCTGAGTAACAGACGGACCACAGCCCTTGCTGCCCTGACCGACCTACCCGATCCTGCTAAAGCATTCTCTAGACCCCACCTACCGTCTTCACCCGATAGAACGCCCGGTAATTATGGCCGTATCTGGACTGAAAAATGCATCAAATACGGCTATAATGACCGGGCGTTCTATTCGGGTGAAGACGGTAGTCGTTATTCTAATTGTACTCGTTCTTATGTCCGTTTCCTTTTGCCCATGGATTGTGTGATTCTGCCCCTGTCATAATCCCTGTGTAAGAGTTGTGCCATTCTGTGTATGATAGGCCTATCTGTGGTAGAAGGAAACCCAACAGCAAAGTCCCAAACTCTCCATCGTGTTACAGTGGTGCTCAACCGTATGTACCACAATTCGGAACGGTACAGATGTGCGGTGTTCCAGGCTGGGGAAGTGCGTGGGCAATCCTCAGAACAACCCGTGGACCAAGAACATCAGGCAGACCTCTCATGGCCTAGACCCCAGGATACAAGAACCATGGCCTGAACCCCTTGGGTGGGTACATGCAGTGTCTGTGTCTGTGTCTGTGTCCTTACCATGTGCCAACCCAAAGTGGGGGGTGCAAATGGCTGCGCTTCACATTGGTTAATGCCAACTGGTGTCCATGCGCAGGGCTGCAGAGTTTTGAACCTGCAACCTCAGACCACGGTGTGCATTTCCAAGGGGCCCTTTGGTGGGTGGGTACAGGCATTGTCAGTACTCCTTACCATGTGCCAACCCAAAGGGGTGTGTGTCAAATAGCCGTGTGTGTGTCGCCGGTGTGCATGCGCAGGGCTGCAGAGTTTCGAGCGCGCAACCTCAGACCACAGTGTGCATTTCCAAGCGGCCCGCCAGTGTCCACGTGCAAGGCTGCAGAGTTCTGAGCCCGCTACCTCAGACCACAATGTGCGTTTCCAACCGGTGCGCAAGGGACTGAGCTAACGGCCTATGCAAATTTCCCTTAGCTTCGTCCTTTGTTTTTGTTTTCCTTTTTTCAGTTATAAAATTTGGTGTTTTGCCCTTTGTTTTTGTTTTCCTTTTTTCAGTTATAACTGCGCTAACGGCCTATGCAAATTTCCCTTAGCTTCGCCCTTTGTTTTTGTTTTCCTTTTTTCAGTTATAAAATTTGGTGTTTTGTTATTCCTTCCTAGTGCAACCCCTGCTCTGAGGTATACTGCGGACCTTGCACGGATCTATTGGACAGCAGGAGCAGGCACCAGTGCTAGGCAGGCAACCCACTCTGCCCTGGTTGAAGCCTTCTTGTTGCACTGGTACTCTGGATACCAGGTGTAATCGTTAGGGAACTGCCCCATGAGCTTAACCTGTATGCCCCCCGTTCAGTTCCTGGGACTACACGTGCACACCCCAGCTATCACAGGCAGTATCTTACGGCCCCACCCCAGCTATCACAGACAGTATCTTACGGCCCCACCCCAGTTATCACAGGCAGTATCTTACGGCCCCAGGGTTTAATCTATGACACCCCTGACACCAGACCTCGGACACCAGACTGTCTGGAACCTGGTCCGGACGTCTGCGCGGTTACCATGGTGCCAACCAAACACTGACTACCGTCTTTACCTGAATACAACGTACGTTCGTTATTGCTGTATCTAGACTCAATGTTGCCTCAAATACAGCTATAATAATGGCACGTTGTATTCGGGTGAAGACGGTAGGTGTTGAGGTCCAACCGGCCCTGAACCTGCAACCCTGCCTTGGCAAAACCGGAGCTCCGACTGACTGAGCTATCATGCTTGCTTCCCCCTTGATCTAACAGTGCTGCGCCAGGCTGGGGAACAAATATGTGGAGTGTTAAACACACACCACCCTGGACTTGCCCAGGAGAGGCGGAGGGCGGACTGGAAGCGAACCCACAACCTCTCCGTTGTGATGCTGCTGCCACACCACCTCTCCATTGTGATGCCACCACAATGGAGAGGTTGTGGGTTTGCGTCCACTCCGCCCTCCGCCTCTCGTCGGTGAGTCCAGGATGGTGTGTGTTTGACACTCTGTCACGTACTTGTCCCCCAGACTCCAGACTCACCCAGCCCTTGTGTGGCTGAATGGCACACCCATCGTCTGTTGACAAACAAAATCCTGATGAATCGAGATGAGGAAAACAACCCGGAATACTCCTTGGGGCTGGTCTGTTGGATGATGATATCTGAAGACTGTTGATCTTGTTTAACCACCAGTATGCGGCCCAGGCAAAAGAAACTAGCGAGAACGAACATGTCCAAAACTTTCGGGGGTTACAGGGGGCCTACCGGACCAAAAACAAAACAAACAAATCGCGCCCGCATGGGTTTGTCGTTTTTTGGTGTGCAGTAAAAACTTCGGGCCGGAAAAACAGCCGCAGACGTAGGGGTAGTTTAGAAAAAAGGAATCTGATGGGCTCCGCATGTCACTGCGTAGGCAGGTTTTGATTAGTGGTATCACTCGTCAGCTCTTCACTGTTCTTCCCCCCTTCCTGACAGGTGACCACAATTTGTTTTTTCTATTATTATTATTATTAGTATTTTTTGTAAGGCCGGGTTGTTGTAAAGGCCGGATTCCACAATTTATTTTTATTATTATTATTATTCTTTTTTTAAGGCCGGGTTGTTGTAGAGGCTGGATTCCAGACATATGATGGTTGCAGTCATCAGTCAGCCATTGGATATCCTGGCAATTGTGAGGCTACCTCCCAACCCTTCCTCTCATCAGTACAACTCCTAGACCGCTCTATGTTTGCAATGTCTGGTTTATGTTTCCTACTTTATCTGTGCCCTTTTTTTTTTTTTCTAATCTCTTTTCGGAAATCTTGCAGGCAATAGATTTAAACGGTTTTTATAACTTTTTAAGTCACTGCTGCCCCAAACGGCTTGAAACAGTGCGCCACATCTGGTCACAGGGTGGGTTGCGGTATTGACTGTGGGCGGTTGGCGGCTTTTTGCAAAATTTTGTGTGCATTGACTTTGTTTTTTTTTTGTGCTCAGATTTTTTGGTGGAAAAAGGGACGAAAATCAGGGACATAGATTGAATGCTGATCTATTGGAGGAAAAGGGGGGGGGGAGATCTGCCTGAAAAGAACGATTCTGAAAAAAAAGGGAAAAAAAGGGAAAAAAAGGGGAAAAAAAGGAAAAAAACAAGGAAAAAAGGAAAAAAAAGGAAAAAAAAAAAGGGAAAAAAAGGGAAAAAAAGGAAAAAAAGGGAAAAAAAGGAGAAGGAAAGAAAAAGGAAAGAAAAAGAAAAAAAGAAAAAAGAAAAAGGAAGAAAAAGAAAAAGAAAAAGAAAAGAAAGAACGATTGTGGTGGGAAAAGACTGGGTCTTTTTCCTCCCCACTGCTACCAACAGCCCCACTCCTTGTCATTCGGTGCTCAAGGCTTGGAAAGAAAGTGTTGGTTTGTTTATTTTGCCTTTGGGGCAAGAGTGGTTCAAACCACCAGTAAGGCCCTATTTTGTTGGACTTGATTCCACACTGACCCTGGCCTTCCCACCGTGAATGGTAGAGCCTGGCAGGTCTCAGTGAGGGGCAACCATATGCCATTCGCTTTGCCCCAGATTCTTTTATTTCCTTTTCTCACATGCCAAATAAACTTTGTTTGTCTTTCCTTTCCCTGATGCAGCTGAACCTAGCTTACATACAGCCCTGATTGTTTTTGGGTCTGTAATTTTTCATCAGAGTAGATGAGAGTTAAACATCACCATAGTTGGGGCACCCGAAATTTGGTGCACCTCCCTGTCCCCCCTCCCCTTTTTCCTTATCAAAGAAAGATATCTCGGTGTCCCTCCACCATCCAGGGTTACCCCTGGGCGGTGCAGCGCTCACCATTGAGAAGGCTGCAGTCTATTCACACACACACACTCACACACACACACACACACACACA